TATGCCCAGGTAATATCGACAAGAGTATTTTCAGTAAAGAAGAATTAGAACGGTCGCGGTTTGTCTTTCTTAAATAAATTAACATTTAGAGCACCTCACACACATCTTTAGTACACGCACTGTTTTTAATGTTTTTTTTATATAACAGTCAAGACTTTCCATAATTTGTCTGTTTGAAACGGTTGGGCTCTATCGAAGGCGGTACAACGGCCGGTGCGGTAAATGCCTGTATTAAACTTATTTAGCTAAAATTTTGTAACAAATAGAGTCAACTCCATATGACGATGATAAATGTAGATATTATCTTTCTTTGACACAACAAGTTTACGTAAATGTGCAACCGTTTGTATACCCACTAGGTCTAAGTTGAAAAAAAAAGTAGGAAATCTGTTAGCGCTTGATCGTTCATCCGATGCAGTTATCCTGTGGTAACTTTAGTGCAGCGCCATATTTCGACGCAAAACGTTAAATTGTTCTTCTAGAGCATACTGGCTTGTTGAATCGCAAATTTATAGGAACCCATAATAAATATAGACTTTTACGTTGTTTACTGTACATCAAATCGATGGGTTATGATGCTATTTGATGTTTTTGCTAAATGCGTCTCGAACCATAGGATGTTAGTGTAACTAGTAACTTGTTCTAAATCCTGTTGGTCGCTAACCTTTTAGACATTTATTGTGTTCTCGTGTAATCCGGCTTGTTGCTTAGGTTATTCTTCTCGCCTGCTCTACTAGCTATGACACACTGCGGGTGAATGGAGCACGATAGATCCCAAATATATCGTAGTCGAAATGGAAGTTCCTAAACTGCGCGATCGATATCAAACAACTCGTACTTCGATATTTTAACTAAGTTATTGCAAGATTCGGACAGCCGACCCAAATTCCTTAATTTTAAAAGATAAGATGGTAAAAATTTCACTGAGTTCAGTGATGTTCTTTCAACCGAGCCATCCTTTGTAATATATTCCTGATCTTTGCATATACTGACAAAATATGTTACCAGTATGTAAGAGCTGCTGACTTTCAAGATATTTGGGAGAAGAAAATACACATTTTTTCTGCTTCATTTTAAAAAATGTATAAACTAATAAGTTATTTTTCATTGTCGTTAAAAGATTATGGCAATTCGAGATTGTACAATGAGAATTGTTCACAACTTATTCACAGTCCTCATGGTACGACCATGTGATAGTTTCATTTTTTTTTATACATTTAAGCATATGCCTCCACAACGAACGATTGCAAAAGAGCAGAAGAGCGCATGGGCCAGTGTAAAGCTCAACGATGAAGAGAGATCTCGGATGATTGCCGTTAATTGTAAACAGAACTGTCACATTGCTCACATTGCACACAGGAGCTTGAAAGTATACTGTCCGTTTTAATTACGAAAGTACTCATCCGGAACTTTGATAAGGTTCTAACACCTATTATACCTAAAAAAGATAGCTTATATAATTAGTGCCAAAGAAAAATAAAGTAACCAAACCAGAGAAATAACTGAGCATAGATATTCAAGAATAATTAGACAACGATCTTTACTACAAGACCTCTGCCGGAAGATTGCTCAGCATAAGGAAAAACCTGCTCACATGTCCTATTAGCACATCGAACGCCTGATTAAGATAGCACAGTGACGCCCGACTTGTTTTACCTTTTTTTGTCTAAGATACTTTTATTCAAATTAGTAAACAATTCTGTACGTCCGTTATATTTGTTTTAGTGCACCTTTGCGCCACTGCTAGTTATTATCGGTTTATAAATATTTAGCAACGAATACGGCTTCCAGCCTGCCTGCCGTATTAAGCTCATTAATATAAAAAGTGTCTTAACTAAAACAAACTATATGGACGTCTGCGGAATTAATGTATTTATCAAAAGACCGCGCTAGACTTGACGTGCTAAGAAATAAGAGTATGATTTTAATGAGCAGAAATACATATATCTCAAAAATATAGTTTATTATTCATATTCCAACGCATTGAAAAAATATTTATATAAAAATATATTAGACCAAAAAGAACTGGAAAGGCACCCGTGGCCGAATTAAGCAGTAAGCAATGAACTTAATAAAAAAAAAAAGGTGTGATATGATAACAATCATACCGATCTTGTTTCATTGCCTCATGATCTTTTTTAACAATAAAAAAGTTTGGAAAACCATTAAATCGGGAGCCGGATGATATGCTCTTTTGTAGTTGCCATAACATTTTGCAGATATCCACTTTTATCATTGCATTTTTTATACAGTAAAACTTGAACGGCCATATAGTGTATAGGGGGACATCTTCGTTGTAATTCAGTACCTATCAACGACTACCTATCTATTCTATATGTCGATCTATATCCATTGATATACTATATTACAAAGGCCGAGACTGTCGTCTGGTTGTTCATCAATGTGTCAATCAACCCGAAGGGTAGTTTATTTTTTATGATTGTGCTGATTTTTATGCACTGATAAAATTTAAAGCTGGGATGGATTGCACTTGCGATCGAGTCGACTATATAAGTTTTTTTATTTTGAGGGGGGGGGGGGTTTAGAGCATGATGCTAATTTGGGAAAGTTAACGCGTTTTTAACACTCTTTTCGATAACTATTGGAAATGAGTAAAATATTTATGTTGGAGAGCTGTTTGCTTTTCAAACACTCTTCGAACGGTTCAGTCTACCAGACATCAAGGAGTTAATGAGGCATGAACCATCTCAAGATATAGTCCTTAACCTTTGATTAAACGAATACTTTTTCGTGGGTAGTTTTCCCTTAGGACATAATGCTAGTCTGAAGAATATGCGAGATAGTTCGTATTATGGATGGATAATCTCTCTCTAGTAGAAACAACACAGTGACAACAAGGTAAAACTAAATGTTTGAACCGAGTTTTCTCTCCAACGGCGTGAGTATTATAAAAGGAAAATGATCTAAAATTTAGCTAAACTTTACCTAGTGGACATACAATCTATACACCAAACCCAACAATGCCGTCTTATTAACAATATAAGACTGGATTACCATGAGATTTGAGTTGCCCGAAGCAGCTCCAACAGCTGCAATGTTTTTCTTCTCAAAAAGGAAGACAAGAACAATAAAAGCCTAAAAAATTAAGAGATTGGATAGACGTCCTCTCAACTGAAGACGTTGTACATGACACGCGTACAGACTCATCTACTTGTGTCCATTCACAAACAAAAAGACGTAAGATGGTCGTAGACTAATGCATACTATTATATACCAAACACAGGTTGGATGCTTATATATATATTTTGTCGAATAGGTAGTTACTGAATTACCCGAACGGTAAACGTAATGGGTTACTGGAAAATTTGCGATTTTTTGTGCAATACTTGACAATATCTGAAAAACTTATATTAAAAAGCCCCCTGTTTTCAAGTTCTACAATACATAATTGACTTTTAGGCAAATTTTTGATTTTCACATTTTCACTATTGAAATGGTGATTTTGGCCGAAAAGATTGACAAATGATAAAAAAAAATTAGGTCGATTTACAAATCGGGAAACTGATTAGTTGAAATTGGGAAACAGAATCAAGGCGACAGGATATCGATATTACAACAATGTTCTAACTGAAGAGCGGGAGTAATTATAGCCGTGCGGAATCTTCGCTAGGCTGGTGTCACTTTAACCTCACATGTATAAGTAGAATAAAATTTATTTTATATTTATATTGGTAATTCGGTAGTCAAGCTCAGTTATTTTCAGAGGCATTTATTGTACATTACTGGGGTAATTTGATAAGAACGTGAAATCAGCGGAGTCACTAATCATTAGAAAGGTACTAGGATAACTGCACTAAAGCTACAAAGCCATTGACACAAGGGGAAAGGTTGAGTAAGTCAACTTATTTACTGTAAAGTACCGAATAGGTTGGCCGATCACATACAAAACCGTAACACATGTTAGTATTCGCGTAACCCCGACTGAATTAGTTAATATGATAACAGAAAGATGACATACATATAAAAGGGTAACGTATTAGTTGCATTATAATAACTGAAACGAGACAACTGTTGGCGTATACACATGACTAAGTGTGCCTTAAAATAGGCGTGAAATTATCAAATCATATTGAATCAATCAACGGCAAAAGATGTACGGGGCAAAGCCTGTGGGGTTCGTTTAGTTTTTATTACATGATACAATCAGTAGACTGAATAAGGGTACTCATTACTGAACGACGAGTGTGTCTTGTCCGCCATATGTTAAACCATGTAAAGACGCTTTAGCGAATTTCGTAGAAAGAGTGAGCATGTGCGGGTACTTTAAGTACTAATAAAACATAATCATCCAAGTTTAAAGACTTAGCGTTTAAAATGCACATTAATGATTTTACGACGTTAGCATGTATCTCACTAATATACCACAGGAGGTGCATTCTAAACAGGTTTTCATAAGAGCATTACTGATACCGATTTTACATGGACTGCCAGCAATATAGTGGTTTCGAGCAAGAAGCCAAATCAGTAACATATTGCTATTTATCATGATGATCTTAGCTATCTAAAATACTATCACGTGTAAAACAGCTAGGAAAGTGAGATAGAAACATTGAAAGGAATACCATCTTTGTTAGCGTTAACCAGACATTGTCTGGTTTGCATCTTAGTCAAAAAGTGCAATCAAACAAGACAAATGAAAGGTCGATAATAGCTTTCGATTGATCTCAACTAGAGCCTTTTAGGTTAGACAGTAGATATAATTCTATCGTGTGTACTGCAGTGCTGTTGCCAGTGAACCGAAGCGAGAAAGGCGCTGCCAACTTTGCACACTTCAACGCTTGCTCCGAACGGCCGTCATCGTGCGAGCCAGCGAATCCATGGGCGGGCCGACAAGCTCATTGAGGACGCCGTCTATTGGCCAAGAGAAAGTGACGTCACATATTAGGGGAGGATATAAAGGTCTGGCTGAACACACACTTGTGGATCAGTGCTCGCTCAGACTCGACCGGATTCATAGAGACTCGTGCGTCATTGTCGGCTAGAGGGAGAGCTCTAACGGGACCATTTTCAGGGGAGTTGCACGCGGGGCAATCCACAGCTGCACCGACTGCAAGTGACCCGCGCGTCACCAGCTGTTGGTAAGTGCAGTGTTCAACTCGTTATTTATTACGTGTTTTCAGATCGTAACGTGACACGCGTTACTGTGGTACAAAACTTGTACACATATACAAACAGTCTTCAAAAATAGATTATTCCCTGGCAGTCAGTTTTATCTGCCCATATAAACCAGTGGAATAAATCCAAGGCACAAACCAAGCGCGAAAACCTTCATTATAGTTAAGCATGAACCATAAAAGTAGGAAGCTTTATTTGCGCCTGAGTATTTCGAATCAATAACGTCCGTCCAGCAAAACGCTACAGTTTGGGCAAAGTTGTTTTTTCTCTCTGTATTCGTACGGGTAAAAACCAGTTGTTCGCTCCCGCTTAAAGGCCACATGCGTTGCACAAGTTGTCCAAAAATTACGAAGAAATTCAAAGACGAAATCTCACAACTTTTGCCTCCATTAAGTGCCAAATGTTATTGATAGAGACCATTTCGAATATGTTTTACATCTCTTGTATATTAGGTAAGCAATTTCTTAAATGGACAAAACCGTACATGAATGTATTCCTTTCTTTAATAAGCAGTTTTACTTAAAATTGATTTAAATAACGGTAGAGAAACAACGAGTAATAGACATGCAACAAATGCACAAAAAATAACTTTTTTTTACAATAAAAAGTAATCAAAGCAAGCTTTGTATTACTTGTTTACTACTTGTTGTATTACTTGTTAGCTTTGTTTGATTGTATTACGGTAGTCCTTCATGATTACGAATTAGTATTAGCTTTGAATTTACCTTTTTTTTTCTACATCATGATTTTTTGTGGAGAATGGATCTGTATGGTGCATGCATTCACGTAAGTCAGTTAAAAAAATTAGTTATCAGGTGGCTAACGCAGCTTCCATTGGTCATCGCGGCGTTGGAACGGGCAACCAAGTAAACAAATGCAAGCAATGGGATGTATATTGTGGGCAAACTATATGTATATATATATATATTAGATAACTTCTACATTTATGTATCAAACAAATTTCATGAAGTTGTCAAGAACAGAAACCACTGACTGTCGAAGCTTCGCTAAGAACCCACTGCTTGTTTTGGGTATAGAATGAGTCAGCTATATTGTGGGTAGATGTGTAATGGAATTTATGCTGGTCAACATGAATGAGCAACGGGCTAAACTGGCGCACATGAACTCATATAAGCTTTTTAGTAAATTAATAAATTGGGTTGCCTACTTCGAATCATAATATAGCACCAATGCATGCATCTATTACGTATGCTTGACTGATAAACTTTGAACTTTCTAACCATGTTTTAACAACCTTGTGGGTAGGAATGATCCTGTAAAAACAAAGGCTAGAAAGTAACATGAGTTTCGCAAACATTTTTGACAGTGTAAGTCTAGTGATGCGTTTTAGATAATAAAGCAGTACATTCTTGATTTAATAAATCTAGAAGAGCCACTTTTCGAAATCAACAAAGCGCATTTCAGCAATAAAAAATGTTGAGATTGACAAGTTACACATTTGACCGGAGAATTTTAGCAAGGATCTGTTGAGGTATTATCTAATATTGACGTAGTTTTGTAGAATTTGTTTTGGTACGCATACAAAACCTATTGTTTGAATGAGCCGGTACACTAGTGACAACTGTTATTGTTAACCCGATCAGACTACTTATGTTCAAGTTCTTCCGTCGATAACATTTTCTTGTAAGAAATTAGCCCGAGATGAGTAATAGCAGTTTCATATAAAGCCAATTTCCTACTTGCACTCAGTCGTTGAGGGATCGATAAATAAGTCTTTCGATTTCATAAACGATGTAAATACGCCGTTTATCTACTATTTTTGCTCATATCTAATCCATCCAATTTATGTAATTTCCCTTCAATTTTACATAATTCTTAGCTTTCTCCCATTTTGCACTCGCGTTGTCGGGTAGCCAAGCCTTTTCACCTGAAGCATACAACACGTCTATATATATATATTAGTGCAAATATTTTTATGAAGTATATTTGCGTAGTTTTTATTTGAAACATGTGCCGTAGGCTTGTGTACCTCGCTATAGGGAATTATAAAGGATTACTATAATGCTATCAATTTATATTCAATATATAAAATATTAATAATAATTATTAATAATAAACATTAAAAATATAATAAATAACTCATTTAATTTATAATATTAACTTAGACATAGCGGTGTCGATATAAGTAAACCTTTACTCTCATTAGCATTGGAAACTTATAGCACCAATATTTCTACTGAACGACTATTTTCCATAACGCTAGATAATTACATACGTACGTTTTACGGTATATTTTATATGGATATTTTGTACCGGTAATTATATTTTCGTAAATCTTCCGGCAATGATCACCGGGGTTTTCTTTTTTCTCGGCTTATATTCTAGAATAATTTATTTTCTTTTTTGCTCCTTCAAATGCAAAAATATGGCTTAAATCCAGAGGCGACTTACATTGCAGCCATTTTAGATATATAATTTTATACAGCATCAGTGAATACCTTTACTAACCAATTACGTTACAAACCATGAGCGTACAGATAGCTTCTTTGTCTATCACAATTGCACTTTGTCACTCATAAATGCTTTATTGGGTCGGAAGGGTGATTGGACTGGGTCGTAAAAAACAATTTTTTTAATTACAGATGAAACTTAACTAGCAGTGATAATTCAAAAGTCGGTTTCTTCAGTTTGTAAGTATCAACCAATAAGAACCAATTTAGATTGTTTAGATTCTATGGTCGTTTGATCAAGAAGTTTGCCTTCCATCAAGTAGCACAAAATGATGTGAAAGCTAAAAATAATTAGGAGATAGTATCGATGATGGAAAAGCTTATAAAGCTTTATTTACTCCGAAAATAATCGCCAGCTATATCTTTGTATTGAATCCAGTGATTCTTCGGCCGAAATCTCAGATGAATAAGAAAAACATTTTTAAATTCATTTGGAAAACTGCACAAAACGTAAATAACTGGTATAAATATAATATACAAACATTAATTATTTATGACACTGATTATGAAAAGTCGTATAAATGATAATAAACTCTCCGTAAGTGGTGTAGAATCGCTGACTGTATTTCCTTTGTCGATATGGTTCGCCTATGTGTGGTTTTCGAATGGAATTAAATTTTCTTCTAATGTCTATGGCGATATTGATGCAACATATCAACTACATTAAATTTGAAAACCATGTTTAAGATGCTGAAAAGTATCCATTCGTTAACGATCCCTATTCATAAATATCATGCTTTACCTATTCCTTCGTTTCGTCTCATAAAGCAGTTATAAATAGATATCGCTAACAGGAGGGTCTCTCAGTTTCTAGTTGTGTCGAGGCAAACAGCCAAACCCTGCGAACCTCAGCAGCAATCTATGCTGAAAACTTGAGTAGCCAGGCGCTTTCTGTATTGCTGTGTATGCTATAACAGCTAAAAACGACCATATCCACGTATTAGAATATGAACATTATTCGACAAAATGGGTAAACTGTGTAAAAAGTTAGCAACGCTGATCAGCCCTGGCCTAAGGCAATTACAGTGTCAAATTAATTACAGTGATTAATCAATATTACTATAGCAATATATTAAGCATATTGTATAATAATAATAGTAGTAATAAAATGTTCTTTGCGCAGGAGTAACTGCTAATCCCCTTTCAAGAATCAGTTTTTTATGTTAACTTTTTCGTATCTTCGCCAAGTCTCTTGTTTACGTCTACACATAGCGCTAATAAACTTAAGCCGTCTAGTGTAAAGATGATTCTCAGGACGGTTTTCAATTACTTTGAATTGTTAAAGGCCAGTTCGGTTGAAATGTTGAACCGTTACAGTTAGTTAAATTAAAAAAAAAACACGTGTTTTAAACAAAAGTTTAGAAATTCAATAGAGCACGCAACATTCTATACAAATCGCTACTGGTGACGTTCCATTAGATTGGTGTTACAAGGGTAGTATTGCTCTTCCAAGGTAATGCAAAACCTAACTTTTGTAGTTCATTCTGGTAATTGCGCTTGGCGGCAGAAATAGATTTATAATACATTGAAGTCAGCAATAACATCTAACTATGAAAACGAGGTTATTATATGAGAATTGTACATTTAAGATAGTAATCTCTAACGCCTTTCATAGTATTTTTCACTAGAAAAAAAATATAATTAACCAGGGAACGCTAGCCATTCATTAAAAAAAGTGAGTAACGTGTAAGCCAAAACTAATGAAGCAACGCCTGAGCGCAATGCATAACTATAGATTATAGGCACCCGCTTTTGAAAAGTATCCCATAGTTATCAACAAAAAAATCAAAGACTTTATTAGGCGCATGAATCCTAAATGATATTACAAGAGTAATAATAGAAATAGGAATTTGGGTATTTTTCCAAAACCAAGTTTTTGTAACACTGTGAAGGTAACCCAACACGAAAATAGCAATTTTCGGTTCCCATGAAAGATGATGTTTTCTCTGTTTGCTGAAAACGTTTACGAAAGAGTATGTTGTTATAATCATTCAAAGCTGCATTACACTTGTGTACTAAAAACAGAGCTTAGAAATATTAAGTAGTAGTACCACGTCAACATGTAACACAATGTCACTGACATAAGCCTTAAACCTACGAAACAGCGGTAAACATTAATTGTTAAACTAAAAAGCCAATTTCGTGATTCTTATAAACCGCATATAATCGAAACTGAAAATTTAGTGATCTACGGACCGATCTAAAGTTCGCCTCGGAAACACAGTAGCGATGACGATTCTTTAAGATTCTTACTTAGATTAGCATTAGTCTTTTATGTATTTCCACAGTTTAGTAGGACTGAAAAGAATTGGTAAAAATCTGCCATCTTTTTATACAAAAGAATGAAATAAGCGAAGCTAAAAGCTTATCATAGTTTGTCAGATGTGAAAAATTTTGGAAGAATATTCGAAAAGCTAGAGGTTATCAAAAATTAATTTGAACTTCTCAAATATTGAATTTTTTCTGTTATCTATCCAGTATTTAAAATTTCC